CCCCCCCCCCCCCCCCCCCCACTGGCCAACTTCTTTTTAAGTCCCTTGCTCCTGACTTAGACCAACCCCCTGGGAGACACTTGGGCCCCAAATCTTGACTTGTCATGCTTGCATCTGACCGGTATCCTATGAGCCAAGCCCTGTGCCTGATTTCTGCCATGGTCCCTGGTGCATATTCAAGAGTCCAGGCGTTCTCTGGTTTAGGAGGTTTGGATAGAGCAGCAGATGGCGGTTTTTCCTTCCCCATCTCCTTCCTGCCAGCGGACACCCAAATCTGCTTGGTTCTACTTTGAGGTTATGAGTGCTGGCACGGCCAGCCAAGCTTGGTAGCAAGTGCGATTTCTGTCATGTACAGCCCCAGCTTCACTGGCCATGGAGTCTGACTGGGATGGTTTATTCATGGGCAGGCTGCAACACACATCTCCCTATGCAGCCTTCAGTAACATAAACATCATGGGAAAGGCCCCCATGCCCCCATGCCCTTTCGATCCTTTGGTTACATCAAGGAGCAGGTCTCAGTTTGGTACAAGTGTGTTTTTAACAAAAGAGAGACAGGACCCCTTTTAGGTAGCAGTATACAGCTGCAATTTATTTTTATTGCAGGCATCTTTTTGGTTTCCTTCTATTTAAGGCAAGAGGTGGTAACTTCTTGGACAAAGGAAGGATGGAGAGTTTCCTTCCTTAACACCCGTCATTTTATTTTATTTTATTTCATTTATTTTTGAGTTGGAGTCTCACTCTGTCGGCCAGACTGGAGTGCAGCGGCCTCGACCTGCTGGGCTCCGGCGATCCTTCCGCCTCAGCCTTCCAAGTAGCTGGAACTACAGGTGCACGCTACTACACCCAGCTAATTTTTGATTTATTGTAGAGATGAGGTCTCACCGAGTTGCCCGGGCGGGTCTCGAACCCGTGGGCTCAGGCAATCCACTCACCTCAGCCACCCAAAGCGTGGGATTACAGGCTGAGCCACCGAGCCCGGCAACACCCGTCATTTTAAAAAGTGAAGCAAATTAAATAAAAATATCAAGTAAATAATTTTCAAAAGTGAAGAAAATTAAATAAAATATCAAGTAAGTGTAGAGATGATATGCAAAACTTAAGAGGCATGCTAAAATGGCATGAGAATAGAGGAAAAATTATAAAGGTGATCCTTAAATTGTAACTGGCATTTGGGCAACACTTGAGAACTTGAGAGCAAGAAAGCATTTCATATATAACTAACTGCGGCCTCCACTCCACCCCGTGGCGCTAGACTGTGCACCTCAAGATGGCGGAGACCATGTCTCAGTGGGCTCACCATTACATCCTGAGGATTAGAACAAGCTCAATAAAAACTGGCCGAACGAAAGGTAGGTGAAGGGATAAATCACCGTCTCTCAGGTCCCTTATTTTGCAGTAAATAGGTTTAGAGGCACAAGTGATTTGCCCAGGAGCACACTGTCATTTAGTGACCAAAGGCAACAGTGCCCCATCTCCACAATGAGACCCAAGCCTGCCTCACGGATACCTGCTGCCCATTAGGGTCTGAACAGATTGTTGCCAGATGCATTGCACAGAATGCACATCTTTTATTTTAAGAGTGTGTCTCTAAGCCGGGCTCGGTGGCTCAGCCTGTAATCCCGTGCCTTTGGGAGGCTGAAGTGAGTGGATTGCCTGAGCCCGCGGGTTCGAGACTCACCTGGGC